GTAATATCTTTTCCATTAAGCTCATTTCTAACCCATTGGCCTCTTATATTTCCTCTTAAAGTGCAAAGGACCCTTATCATTCGCTCCAGCGACCAGAAGACAGATGTTTATTGGTTTACTGAAAAGTAGCAATGAGTTTCGCAAGACTGTTACAGATTCACAGGATAACCACCTCCATAAAAAGAGATACAACGTATGTTACTATTTTTTTAATATAGCAAACTAAGTATCAAAGTATAACATCTTAGATACATTAAACCAGTAATTAAAATAATTAATGTTTTAGAATGTACAAGGCGTGTTTGCTAAAAATTGATTGTTTAGTGAGAATTTATCACTTAAGAACAATTTTTTTAACAAGAACCATGAAGGATTACAATTACTATTTACATTTTTTATTGATATAATATAGTCTTATATAATATAGTCTTTCCTATTGATTGGAATCCTACCTTGGTATTTCTTCCTTCGTATTTAACTTCTTTTGCCTTCATTCTGATTTTTCCTGTATCATTCGTTTAGTTTTGTCCATGTCATCGTTAATATATAGTTCTTTTCCCTTAACTTCTCTCAGTTTACTTTTGTGTTTTATATTATTGTCTCTTCATCAGCTTATTATCTTTGTATTAATTTTTATGCATCTTTGTGCATACTCCCTACTATACAATTGAATCGTTATTCTAACACCACCGATGTTATTCATAATCTTTATAGTCGCAGTGAAAACCGTTTAGACTGACGTTAAACGCAGTTAAAGTAGTAGCAAAACAAAACATGCTTGTCGAATCTTGTGGCAGTCGACTTTCAATAAAACTATAACTGCGAAGGCCATTTATTTCTCAGACCATTGAACGAACGCGAAACTTATTTAGAGATGGACAAAATCTCATTGTTCGATAATAATAGAAAGTATTACGTTCGAACTCTAGAGAATGTCGGAGCTGCTAAAGCGTCGTATCTATCAGACCTTTTACTGAGATATACATTGTTTATACACACGAATTTGGCTGGTAAAAAATTAACAAATCGTTAATTTATTTGGTAACAAAATGAAAATGTGTCTTTAAAAATATCTTCATCATTTTAAAATTATTATAAGGATTGTTCTCTTTGCTTTGTCTTAATATCAGTTTTTTTCTTCCTTTTCCCCTTGCGATGGTTTAGATATTTTTTATAACAATACCGGCGTTAAGTTTTGTTCCCCTTTTCAAAGGATTTCAATCATACATTCTATCTGCTAAAAGAGTATTTGAGAAACAATCATTCAAATAGTTAACATCTATGCCTAAGATGAACCAACACTTGCATTGTTTAAGCGTTTATAAAATATGTAATTTTTTCTTTTCAAATGAAGAGTATTAAATCAAATTTACATAAGCTCGTCTTCCGGAGAACACATTTGGCAAATTAAAACGTCTTTTACAGAAGAAAAGCCTATAACTTTTTACTATTGTATGGTATACAAAGGTTTAAAATAATAATCAAGATATTTGTACAACAAAATAACTTTTATTTTGCTTACACTACATTATATTTAATATAATTTTATGCTAAATTTCCTCACCATTTGAGTCATCATCACTACATCAACTGGAGTTTTCTCAACAATTTTTTTCTGTAATATTCTTTTCTGAGTTCCTGGTGTTTTTAGAACATCGATAATGTATATTGTATACAGTAGAGGTAACAGGACCGTCCCCTGTGGCACTTCGGCCTTCGGAGCTCTATGCTTGGAGGACTTCTGAACCCTAAAGCTCCGGCCTCCCAAGTATGATGAGATTGGTCCTGTCATGGCACCGCTGTATTTATAGCTTTTCATTTTATTTATCAGTCCTTCAAGCCAGAATCTGTTGAAGGCTTTGTTACGTTTAGAAAGGCTGCTCCTCTATACTGATTGTCATTGAATCCAGCTGTAAGTCTGTGTCTGTTAGTCTGAGTACTTTTAGTTCTCTGGAGTGTTCTCCTTGGAATCCAAGCTGGAATCCCAAGCTGGGACTATTCCTAGCATGTCTGTTTCTAATTGAAGACCAATTGCAGAAAATTGTTAGATGTTTAAGTTTTAAACAGATTCACCGCATGGCAACGTGCGACTTTCAGTTCGGACTTTCTGTGGCAACACTGATGATGACACTGATGACAGAATCCAAAGATTTCTTCTTCGGATTATGGCCATCCTAATTAGTGCAACAGCAGGGTTATTGATTTTTTTATCACAAAACTTTAAAGAAAATTTTGTGATGGTACAGCATTTTTATTTAGCCGTCTTGTCTTTGTTAGTACCTCTGCAAGATGTCGTATGATTACCTCTGCAATGTTAGATACCATCAAACAAATCATAGTATTTGTTTGATTAATATACATATATTGTGGGATATGTAGTATTGTGAAGTTTATATAGTTCTAATTTATTTGTCTTTATTCTAATTTATTGTCTATAATCTAATTTATTAAAACTCACGATAACTAATTACGAATTTATTAAAGTCTTTATTAATCCTAATTACAAATAATTTATTAACGTTTCGTTACATTTAAATATCGCGGTTCGCGAGCTTCTTATAACTGCCTGCCAAATAAAAATCTTTCATTTATATACACAACTGTGTCATCCAGAGAATTCGGCGGACTTCTTGAATAGTCTCGTATTTTGGTGAAGGCGCTCGACTCGTTTTTCAACCTCGAGACGTGGATGACTCACTAAAATTAGTGTCTAGAGATTTCTGGTAAACAACTGGTAGCTAAGCTCAGGTATATTTTGACCTACAAATTACGAGAATCAATAAAAAAGAATTAGTCATAAAATATTTACAGTTCTATATGCCATAACATTTAAAATCGTAACATTGCCCCCCTCTTAAAAGATGGTTCCTCCTGGAACCTTGTCGGGACTGGAACTGGAACGACATGCTGATATCGGCAACTGGACCCTCTTTTACAGTCCTAACTTTACTGTACCCGCCAGAGGCCTGCGTGGCTGACTCGTATTCAAGAGCGGCGGATAAGACATCAACCAGCGTCTTGTGACGAGCTAATCGTAGTGTTCTTTGCATCTCATGATCACGAAGACCATCAATAAACGTTTGAACGGCCAACTTTTCCATCATGTCTTCGGGAGCTGTTGGATAAGCATATCGCACTAATCTGGCGATATCTACTTCATATTCTTGAAGAGCCTCATCTTTCTTTTGTCTTCGATTTTTGAGCTGCGACTGATATACATGCTCCAAGTGTTCGTGGCCATATCGCATATTTAACCTCTTCTTCAATTGTTCGAAATCATCTGTCTCCTCTACGGCTATGGTCTGGAGCACATCTAAGGCATCTCCTCGAAGAGCGATAGTCAGGTTTACAGCCTTTTCTTTTTCAGACCATCCATTCGCTCTTGCAGCTGATTCGAACTGTTTCATGTAGTTGTTCCATGATGATTTTCCGTCGAAAGTTGGGACTTTGACATGAACGGAACTTCCACTTCCTTCACATTTCGGCCGTGTTTCCAACTTACATTTCGTCTCGTCTTCTTTTGTCTCTATGGTAATTGGATTGTTTACTCTCTCTGTTGTTCCTGTTCCCTCAATCTTCCTTTCCAACTCTTTCCATATCTTCTCTTCGAAGGCCATCATATCGGCAGCAACTTGGTTTTTTAATGAAGACACTCTATCGTCGAGAGCAGACATCTCCGAAGTGACTTTAGAGATTTCCAAGGAGATGTTAGCAGAGACTTTGCTTTCTAGAGAAGAAATCTCGTTAGACACTTTGTCTTCTAAAGAGGCGATGTCGCCGCAAACTTTGGCTACATCAGAGGAAACTTTCGAAATATCTTCAGAAACCTTGTTCTCTAATTTCGAAATCGACGAGATGACAACAGCAACCTGCTTGTCTTCAAATATATGAGTTTCCGGATCCAATCCTTCTTCTTTTAAAGCGTTCTTTAGTCGTTGGACTAACTCAGCCTTTTTTCCGGTAGAAGCTAATTCTCTGTCTTCAAGATGTCTTCTTAAATCCGTAACTGTGAGCTCATTAATTGTAGCCATATTTCACTTCTTTTTATTTAAAGTTCAAATTAGATTTATTTAAAATCCCGCTTTTTTATTTGAATATTCCACTTCTGACTCCACTGTGAAGTTTATATAGTTCTAATTTATTTGTCTTTATTCTAATTTATTGTCTATAATCTAATTTATTAAAACTCACGATAACTAATTACGAATTTATTAAAGTCTTTATTAATCCTAATTACAAATAATTTATTAACGTTTCGTTACATTTAAATATCGCGGTTCGCGAGCTTCTTATAACTGCCTGCCAAATAAAAATCTTTCATTTATATACACAACTGTGTCATCCAGAGAATTCGGCGGACTTCTTGAATAGTCTCGTATTTTGGTGAAGGCGCTCGACTCGTTTTTCAACCTCGAGACGTGGATGACTCACTAAAATTAGTGTCTAGAGATTTCTGGTAAACAACTGGTAGCTAAGCTCAGGTATATTTTGACCTACAAATTACGAGAATCAATAAAAAAGAATTAGTCATAAAATATTTACAGTTCTATATGCCATAACATTTAAAATCGTAACAGTATGTTATTATCTAATTACTAACCTGGTAAAATTAAGTCACTGCTAAGAAAATGTAAACTACAAACGTACATATAACATGTTACTTTCTTTCCGATCTTTAAAACATCAGACCATTTTTCCTGCAGGTTTTCTAGTAAAGACAGAGAAACAGGGAAATATCTTTTGAAAATTTTGATTTTGCATTTAGGAAGAGCAATATCGATTTGATTTAAAATATTTTAATGTACTCATAATGCTAAAATTTACTAACAATTTGACCAAATTCTATTCAAATTAACAGCTGCCTGGTTTGTTTATACCACTTTCAGTAGTTTAAATTTATTACGCCAGAGGTCAGATACTTTGTTTTCAATTGCGAATTAATGTAAATTTATGTCATGTTTTATCTACAATTTCACGTCAAGTGATTCAATAAAAAATGGTATTTCTAGGTTGAATCAAAATATTAAAAATGTCAAAAAATGTTTACAAAATTTTTAGTGTTATTTAAAAATATACATTACAGTTTTTAACAAATTACACTATTATAGTAACTCTTGTATATAATATGTGAAGTGGACAAAGAACCATGCCAGGAGATATAGAACGTGGAAAAAAGCTATATATGCAACGATGTGCCATGTGTCATACTACAGAAGCCGGTGGAAAGCACAAAACAGGTCCCAATCTGCATGGATTTATCGGCAAAGTCGGAGGACAGATCAGTGGATTTAAGTTTTCAAAAGTTAACAAAGAGATAGGTGTATGGACCGAAGAAAAACTCGATCAGTTGCTAGAGAATCCTAAAAAGTTGATGCCGGGATCCAAAATGATCTTTAAAGGTTTGCAAGATGCGCAGGCTAGGAAAGATCTTATCGCTTATATTAAAAGTATTACCTAAGAAGGAACTTTAAGGGGAGTTAAAGTAGGAAACTTAATCCAGGAGCATATGGTTTTATGCACTGATGTGTGTTTTATCGACGGGTTTCCAACGAAGCGATTTTATTATGTTTATTATTCGGAGCATGCTATAAGTGTCCAAACATAAATATAACAGTATTTTTCTTTAAAACAATGTCTCAGCAAATGTTTTACGTATATTCGATAGTTTTGTACTTATTTTGAAAGAAAAATGGTTTTTTTTAATGTCAAAAATATTTCTTTTATTGTAACAATATTTGTTTTCAAAATTATTAATTTTAAATTAAGGTTTTAGTATTTTAGATTAGGTATTTTAGATTAATAATATTAGGGTTATTTATTATGTTTTTTAAATATTATACGGGATAGAACTAAATCTCCAAAGCATAGGAGTTCCATCAAGTCCCCATGTCTTTCCATCCTTCATTTGTCTGACGGCTGCCATTATTTCTTCTGGTAGGATTTCGGGACCTAAATTTGCTTGAATGGTGGGTAAGTGTATTATTTTAAGGTCGTGGAAAATTTCTCACCAAGTATTATTTCCATACTTTCCTTTTATCTTCTTTGCTTATGGCAAGATTGCCTTCATCATCTGTTATTTCTTCGCTGTTACGATTTCGGAACTTACCAGCTATATCCTTCATCTTTCGATGGACATTAAAGTCATCATTTCGACTCTGATATTTCTTGACATGGTTCTGTTTTTTGTTTTTCTTTGGCTTCCCTTATCTTTTTTCTGACGATGGTATGTATTTTCTTATATTCTTGGAGATTTTCCTTGTTTTTTTTTTATCCATAAGTTTAAGTATTTCATCGGTCATCCACGATTTCCGTTTTTTTTTGTATCTTTCTTCAGGTGTTCTACTTTTATTTCTTTCACTGTTTCTTGTATGATGGTCAGACTTTCCTCCAAAGCTTCTTCATTTCTGCGTTTTGCATCTTATGTATTGAAGTTTTCACTCACCTTCAGTCAAACATTGGAATCTTTTAGTTTTCTAACACCATACTTCTTTATCGACTTACTTATAACCTTCTTCATTCTGACTTTAAAATTACCTACAACTGGTACATGATCAGAATTTATGTCTGCCCCCGGGTATGTTTTGACAAATGTACAGCTGTTCCTATACCTCTTATTTACTAGCATGTAATCAATCTGATTTCATACAATCCTTCCCACAGAATCCTGTGGAGATTTCCAGTTGTACAATTTCCTTGGGTGTAGCTTAAACCAGGTGTTTATTATAACTAATTGATTTGCTTCGAAAAAATGCGAAGAGCATCGTATTATCAGTCTAATGAGCCACATTTTTAAGACCTTCTTAAAGATAATACACAGAAGAATTTATCAGAAATGCGAGACACAGATCTCACGAACGCAGTTTGGATTCAGGGATGCGTTAGGTACAAGAGAAGCCTTGTTCGCGGTTCAGGTATTATTTCAAAGGTACAGAGACGTCAACTGCGATATTTATGTATGCTTTATTGACTACCAGAAAGCTTTCGACAGAATCAAGCACGATAAGCTCATGGATATATTAAAGGCAACTGATCTGGATTAGAAAGGCCTTCGGATAATCAAAAACATATACTACAACCAATCAGCAACTATTCGGGTGAAAGACCAACTAACAGAGGAATTGCAATAAAAAGAGGAGTACGGCAGGACTGCATACTCTCTCCCCTATTATTTACGTCTATTCGAAACACGTCATGAGCCAAGCCTTATCGAAGCCTAATAGCATATCGAAGAGGGTATTCTCATAAATGGTGAATGCCTGAATAACATCAGATATGCAGACGACACCATCCTCTTTGCAGACAGTCTAGAAGGTTTAGAGACACCAGTAATGCAGTTGTGAAGAATCAGTCAGAAGTACGGGCTTGATTTTATTATCAAGAAAACAAAGTACATGGTCATCAGTAAGAAGCATATTCCACCCAGTCAATTATTGGTAGATCAACAACAAATACTCCAAGTGTCCCGTTACTACTATTTAGGAACCACCATAAACGACTATTTGGGACCACTCAGTTGAGATAAAACAGAGAATTGAAAAAGGCAGGTCAGTGTTGGTCAGATTAAGCAAGATATTTAAGAGCCACGACCTACCCTTAAAAACAAAAATTCGTTTATTGAGATGCTACTTGTTTATAGAGCTGCTCTATGGGGTTGAATCATAAACACTATAACCGAGGCATCCAAGGGAAAACTCGAGGCGTTTGAGATGTGGTGTTATACACGGATACTGAGGATCTTTTGGGTGGACCGAGTAACAAACATTGAGGTTCTACGTCGGATGGATAAGACATGTGAAATTATATCCACAGTGAAACAGCGCAAGCTAGAATATCTTGGACATATAATGCGAAACGACCATAGATAAACCTGCTGCAACTTATATTATAGGGAAAGGTCTACGGAACGAGGGGACCAGGAAGAATAAGAATATCATGGCTCGCAAATTTACGAAAATGGTTTTCCTTGACCACTTCAGGATTATTTCGAGCTGCGGTCAATAAAGTTAGAATTGCCATGCTAGTTGCCAACATCCGTAACGGATAGGCAGTACAAGAAGAAGATTTGATTCCGCAAAAATCTTCAATGTATCTTCCCGATCGTTCCGGTTTCCTAGTCCAAATGGTCCAACTGCAGATGATATTTTGCTGGCCCCCACTTTGGACTTGATTAATGCTATAGTATAGTTATTCTACCTCTTCTTCTGTTCCTTCTTCTTTAGATGCACGCACTTAAATTATATTAATATCGATTGGTCTTGCTTTCAGTTATATGAACATCTTCTTCTTCTTTGGGTGCCGTGTCCGTATTCAGACGTTGGCCGTCATCATGTTTACAATTTCCTGAAACCTTTCTCTGTCGGCTGCTGCGCGAAATAATTCTTCTACTGTGAAACCACACCATTGTCTAATATTACGCAGTCATGAAAGTTTCTTTCGACCAATCCATCTCTTTCCTTCCACTTTTCCTTGTATTATAAGGCGAAGTAAATGGTATTTAGGTCCTCTAATTATATGGCCGAAGTATTCTGTTTTTCTCCTCTTTATGGTGTTTATGAGCAGACGTTCTGAATTGATCATTTGAAGAACATCTTCATTGGACGTGTGCGAAACCCACGATATTTTTAGGATTCGTCTATAGCACCACATTTCGAATGCTTCTAACTTGTTTAGCATGGTGGTTTTTAACGTCCATGTCTCACAACCATACAATAGGATCGACCACACATAACATTTCAGGACTTCTTACGAATATTCATTGACAGGTTTCTGTTGCATAAAACTGGTTTCCAGGTCATAAAAGCCTTACGTGATATTTCGATCCTGGATATTATCTCTTCATCAGAGTCACAATTTACATTTAACCAGCTGCCAAGGTATTTGAAATGATTTACCCTTTCTATCTCTTCTCCATTAAGAGAAAGCAGACCTTGATCTATATGGATCTTTCCAACTGCCATCCACTTTGTCTTTGAAATGTTGATTTTTAGGCCTCTCCGATAACTTGCTTCACTGACTAGATTTAGTAATGTTTGGAAATCTTGTAAACTTTCTGCAAGAATGGCTGTATCGTCAGCGTATCTAATATTGTTGATTACTTCTCCACCTAGTCTTACTCCCTCTCGTCTGTCATCCAAAGCCTCCCTAAAGATTTATTCAGAGTACAGACTAAAAAGACTGTCTCCAATTTGGATAGAGGCTACTTGATTGTAATATAAGTATTTCAGCAGTCTTATATCATAGTGGTCAAGTTATGCTGCCCGTAGGCAGTCGAAAAGTGTATTGTGTTGGACTCTGTCGAACGCCTTCTCGAAGTCGATGAAACAAACATAAACATTCTTTCGGAATTCACAACTTTTTTGTAATAGAACGCGCATACAGAATAGTGCCTCTCTAGTTCCTAGACCGTTTCTAAATCCAAATTGCTTATCACCCATCTTACTTTCGCATAGAAGGAATACTCGCTTTTGTATAATTCGTAAGAGTATCTTCAGTGTGTGACTCATCAAACTGATTAGTCTAAAATCGCTGCATTTGGTGGGCCTGCTTTTCTTTCTTAATGTCATAAACAGTGACTCTAACCAATCATCTGGTATTTTTCCTTCGTTTAAATTTTGTTGAAGACAGTGGTTAAGCAGGCAATGCTTTCCTCATCCAAAAGTTTAAGTAGTTCGGCAGGGATTTGATCTGGCCCAGGTGCTTTATTGTTTTTGGCTTGCTGTATTGCCTTTTCGACTTCCGAATTCAGTATATTGGGAGCTCTGTTCAACTGGTTGTCACAGGCAGTATTTGGAGCATTTTCTCTAGAAGCATCGTCAAAAAGGTCAGTGATGTATCTCTCCCATTCTTTGCACTGTTGTTCGTGATCACAAATTTTTCCGTCCGCGCTTTTAAGTATGTGAGCATTTTTCTGTTTTCTAATTCCGGCAGTATATTTAAGTTTCTTATGCAGGTTGAAGCTGTCATGTTTTTGTTTGAGGTCTTCTATTTCTTTAGATAAATTCTCAAGCCAGGATTCTTTGGCTTGCTTAATTTTTCTTTTTATGCGTTTATTAATTTCACGATATTCGATAATATTTCTATTTTTGTGTTGCCGTCGAACTTCCATCAGATCTAGAATTTCTTGTGTCATCCACTCATTTTTTGCCAACATGGTAGGTGTTTTCAAAGACTCTTGTACGTTCTCTAAAATCGAGTTTTAAATGGCATACCAGCATTCGTTAATGGTTCTGTTTTCGTTTGGTATATTTGATATTCTGTGTATTTTACTATTTATTTGCTGTGATATGTGTTCGCGCGTTTGAGATTGGGATGAAGTTGTTAACATATTTTGCCACTTCGTTTGTCAATCTAATGCCGACACCTAACTTATGTTTGCCGTTATCTGTTTCAGAATAGTAAACGCGGTGTTCCCCAATATTTCCTGTTCCTGAACCTGGCCAACGCATTTTGCTTACTCCCAGATTTATAGTCCCTATTGTACAGCATATTTATTATAAATTTTCTTGAGAATATTTTTGTTTTAATTATAATTCAATTTTTATTATTTTGATTTTTAATTCTTGTCCCTTAATATCTTTCATGATTTCTCGTCTTTGTCCTGTTTCGCAATTTTTGGCTCTCTCGGAAGTTAGTGTGGGTTCCACGGCACCCGCTGTGGGCCACGCGTATGCTCCAAAGCATTCATATCTCCATAAACAAAC